ATTGTACTGGTCAGAAACCTAAAGGTCACGAGACAAGTTTGTTCATGTACTTGAGGACTAAAAAACTCAGTGAGAGAAAGTGGTGGTGAGAAGGAAAGGTAACGGGATTGTTCGAGGAGGCATGTGCCGCCTACCCCCCAAATGAATTATTATAATTAGTAGATGGTTAAAGGGGAGGAGCCTTCAAAGGAAAAATTTGTATATTAAAAAAATTCAGGCTTACAAAGAAGCATAATGGATCAGAGGGCGGGTTGTAGACAGCTAATGTGAAATGCTTATAGAGTTTTAAAGTTTTAACTTAGTATAAGTCCCAGTATTTGCTTTTTTTTAGGGGGTGGTGGAAAGTCATCTCTGTAAGAAAAGTTAAACAAAAAGATATTATCGAAACATACGACCGGACGTGTGAAGAATTTCATAGGTGACATTTTGACCAAATGTGAAGCAGGCAGAATATCACTGATGTTTTCGGAGTAGGAGGAGGAGTATTAGGAGAAGGAAGAGGACAGAGTTTCACTGGTTGAGAATAACGAGGTACCCTACTAATGTTGGTGTGGAGCAGGGATAGTTTGTTTTTTTCTTTCATTTTTTACATTTTTTTTTCTGAATTTGTCAGTAAATATGCTACCTCACTCTTTGAGAGCGAACAATATTAGCTCAAGTCAGTATATGACGCCATGACGGAAAAACCTCCTTTAAATATGTGATTAACAATTAGAATTTATTTAATGATCATATACACACCCACACACCCACACACTTAAGGTACGTCAAACTAACTATTACAGTTTTCCTATTGTCTTTTACATTTATATGTATTCTTTTTTTCTGCAGGTTAACTCCGAGAAATTATTCATATATATATATATATATATATATATATATATATATATATATATATATATATATATATATACGGGTCGATTATATAACCTAATACGATCATTCCTGTCAAACCGTGAATTGAAGGTCGTTCTCAACGGATTCTCCTCCAGTTCCTATCCCACGAATGCAGGTGTTCCTCAAGGCTCCATCCTAGGCCCCACTCTATTCCTTATCTACATAAATGACCTTCCTGACGCCATAACTTCCCAAGTTGGCATCTACGCGGATGACACCACAATTTATTCCTGCCTCAAAAACAAATCTAGTCTCGCTGACAAAACTCACCTGGCCGTGCGTCTCGAAAAGGACGTCCAATTGATTGTGAACTGGGCATGAATTGGCTGGTCAACTTCAACGCTTCGAAGACAAAACTGCTCTCTATTAATCACCACAGAGAGCCTTCCCTTCCCTCCATTAGAATGTCTGACGCTCAACTTCTCGAGAGCAACACTCTGCGGCTGTTCGGTCTCACGTTGACTGCTGACCTGAGATGGAATAAATACATTGAGTCAATTGCCTCGTCCACTGCGAGGAAAGTTGGCTCCTGAGCCGCGCTAGGAAGTTTTTCTCCCCGGAGTCGATCCTCCAGATCTACAAATCAACAATTCGCCCTTGCATGGAGTATTGCTGCCATATATGATCTGGTGCCCATTCTGTCTGCCTCGGGGGTCTTGATAGGCTCCAGAGGCGGACATGCAATGTAGTTGGCCCTGCCCTGGCGTCTCGTCTACAGTCACTTTCTCACAGACGCGCCGTCGCCTCCCTCTGTCTGTTCTACAAATACTTTCATGGAAATTGCTCCGAGGAGCTGCATTCGCTGGTTCCCAGACGTCATGAGTTCCAGCGCTTTACGAGGCTGGCATCCCGCTCTCACCCCTTCACTGTCGAAACTCCTAAATGTAGCCGTCTCTTCTACTCTAATAGCTTCATGTCTCGCACCTCTCGCCTGTGGAACTTCCTTCCCTATTCCTGTTTCCCTGTGAGCTATAATCTCCAGCTATTCAAGTGTAATGTCAATCGACATCTCCAGTTGCCTTGATCTATCCACTACCCTCATCCTTTCTTCTATCACTCCTATCTGATCTTGCTCTAAACTTTCTGTAACCCCTTGCGTCCTAGTGGCTTCCCGCCTTGCTTGGGGTGAAATGCTTAAATATATATATATACATACATATATATATATATATATATATATATATATATATATATATATATATATATATATATATATATATATATGAATCATTCAGACATTTATTCTTTCGTTGTCCTGTTATTACCGAGAAGTAAAAAAACAAATGTTTTCATACCTGATGATGTCTGTAGGAACAGATGAAAGCTTGTAAAAAAATAAAAAATAAACCTTATGTAACTGGAATTTATAAACAGGGATCATAATGTTAGGTTAATGTACTTTATTAAATTTGTTTGCAAAGATATATTCTCGCCATTTATATCATTTACATCTATATCTGCTTTTTGTATAAATGATTCATGTAATGTAAATTGAACTGCACAACATACTTGATATATATATATATATATATATATATATATATATATATATATATATATATATATATATATATATATATATATATATATATGAGAGAGAGAGAGAAAGAGAGAGAGAAGGCGGGAGGCACGGTGGAGTAATGGATAGCGGCACAGATTAAGGAATCGGACAGCCGATTTCGAATTCCGGTCGAATCCTTTATATTCACTTAATCTTGGGAAAGGTATTAATCCTCTTCTTCTGCCCTCCAGCTATGGGTATATAGAAGGACAACCTGGGTTCTATAGCTTCAGATGTTGGCAACTGTTCTAGAAGAAGAAGGACAACTCTGAATTCAAAACCTGAAGAGGGACGCTTGAGGAACTTATGATACGTAGTGCACCAGGTCACTGTATTCTTCCCTTCAAAAAGTGTGTTTTATTCAGCACAAAGCCTTCATCACTCTAATCAAATCATATGTGCTGGTGTCTGGGCTGCCGGTTCCTAGGAACTGAGCTGCTTGACCCTCATACCTTGAATACGACGAGTCCAGTATATCCACACACACATAATTATATATACACACATATATAATATATATATATATATATATATATATATATATATATATATATATATAAATTATGTGTGTGTGTATGCATAAATATACGGTTGTATTGAGGTCTTTTGTTAGTTAGTTGTTGCTCGTATCAGGGTTTTTCTTTGGGCTTCAGACCTGCATCTGTGCGATATTTTGTCGGCAGAAGTTCATGTTTGTAGCTCTTTCTTTTTTAAAACCTTTTTTTCCCTCGAGACTGATTTGATTAGCAAATCAAAAAATTCGAGGGTTTTTCAAACGAGTCTAGTTATCTATATATATATATATATATATATATATATATATATATATATATATATATATATATAGGCAGCATATATTCATTCAAGCATGTGTGGTTGAGCAATCTAGATATATTTATTTCATTTTTTATTTTAATCCTCTCAAATTCACATATCAGTTTCTGAGTCCTGTTACAAAACTGATTAAGAAAGTCGCCGTAGTTTTTGTTATTTCTTATATTAAGTACTTTCAATCTCATCCAGGAGCTTCTTGCTAAGACAATAAAATTAATGTAATCGATAGTTGGGAATTTTTTTTTTTTTTTTTTTTGTAAATTTGAATGAAAGAAAATCCGTTATAGTTAATTTAAAGATGTAATATTTAAGGAAGTAACTTAGTTTATATATTTTATTATTAGTGTTTTAAAATACTCAACCTGCAATTAAAAATATGATTTTCCTTACAAAAAGTTTACTTTTATTATATATATATATATATATATATATATATATATATATATATATATATATATATATAAAATTGAAAGAACAGTACGATATATAATCCGGTGTTCTTATAGATATTTTTATTTTTACAAAATAGAGCTCAATGTAAATTTACAGAGCATTAATATTATAAATTAATTAATTTAAAATATGATTTTTTTGCTACAAAGTTCTAACCATGTTTTTATATTTTTGAAACATGGTCAGAACTGTGTAGCGAAAAAAAAACATATTTTAAATTAATTAATATATATATAGTTAGATTGATTGGAGTTTGTGAAACCCAGGGTCACAAACTCACATCAGTCCAACTAAGTCTGTTAGCTCTATCACTGATATTGAGCACTTTCCAATAAGTACCGTGCATATATATGAGTAATTCATCGAGTCTGATAGAAACCTCCACAGAATGCACTGGACGGACGTTTCGTCCTATATTTGGGACTCATCAGCAGTGCGCATCCACTACCGAGAATTGAAACCCTGACAGTTGGGTTCTCAAGCGAACATCATACCAACTGTTCCTCGGTGACGAAGGGATTGCAAACCAGACTCGACAAAGCGCCGCTCGCTCACACATTCCGTGGCGGAACTCGACTGAGATTCACTATTACCATAGGACTGTGCCCCCCTGGAGCCATGACTACTCTCACCAAGCCGCTAATATATATATATATATATATATATATATATATATATATATATATATATATATTGCAAAATAAGTTCATCCACAGACATCTTTAAGCCGGGATGGAAACCCAAACAATTTGGTATTATACAGAGATACTACCACCTAAGCCATCGTCCCACGGCAAAGGACAGGGAGACTTTAAGCTTTTTACTATACGAAAAGACGTCAGTAGCTGGGAGTGCTTGATTCGAGGAGAAGAGCACACACACACACACACACACACACACACACACACACACACACACACACACACACACACACACACACACACTTTCCAATATGCATCAGCATCTGAATCCTGTGCAAACAAATTAGAATTATGTTACACTTACATACAAAAAGCAATATTTACCATTTGGAATCCATTCATTTCTTGGAAAATCGAATGGACATGTCGTTTCTCTTTGAATTTGGAACGATACAAATTCTACCAGTGTTTTTTTTAAAAAAAGTTCGAATGCACGTGAAACAGATAATAAAAGTCAACAACACAAAAGTAAAAAGGCCAGAATTTATTTCTTCTTTTTCTCCATAACTCATTCTTTATCTTACATTAATGTTCTTTACCTTATCATGAGGTAGCGTAATTATTCTGTTTCGGTCTATATCTATCTATCTATCTATCTATCTATCTATCTATCTATCTATCTATCTGTCTCAATCTGTTCATATCAGTCTCAGTCTGTTCATATCTATCTATCTATCTATCTATCTATCTATCTATCTATCTATCTATCTATCTCAGTTTGTTCACATCTATATATTTATCTATATATCCATATATATAGCCGCAGTAGAAATGGTGTGTCTTGAGCAAGATAACCTGACAGAGCCCAACCCTCTCCAGGATAGTTTGAATTCAGAGTTTTCCTTCTCTTAAATTGGTTGCCCCCACAGCTATAGAACTCAGTCTGTACTACTATTTAGTAATAGTTTGGGGCGGGGATTCATAACTTTCCCAGGGATATTAGCAAGTAAGTGAATGTAATGAACTCGACTGGAATTCGAACTTGTCTCTTCGCTTCCTCAATCCGTGATGCAATCCATTAATCTACATAAAATAATCTATACATTCGGTTAAAAGTAAAAATCGGACATACAAAATATTTTGGATAATTTCTACAAAATTTACGTTCAGAAAAGAAGAAAATTACAAGAACACAAGAAAAATTAAATTAAGGAATTTGTCGGTCGTTTATGCGAGGGAAAGATTGCTGCGTAAATACACAATTATGGATTAGAATCCGACAGAATGATTTGTAAAATCAAAATTGTGCAGCTCTCTTCGTGTGTATCATGAGAAAGTTTCCGTTTAGACAACCATTCAAACTCTCTTGCAATACACAGGAACAAAAGTTGTCATAATTTTACAAAATTGAATTAAAAAAAGAACATAATTCTTTACGTCGAAAGTCGTTTGAGGGATTACTAATGACAACGACAAAGACATTAGATCACCTCGCCAACCTTTATTGAATCCATTCTTAGAGGATCTAATATATGTTTATCTAAAACAAACGGTATCTATGTAAGAAAGTTCCCAAATCAACATACGAAAAAGCATCAAACATAAGGTCTACTACACGAGACACACACATACACACACACATACACACACACACACACACACACACACACTTACAAATATACATTAGCATCTGAATCATACATAGGCAAATTAGAATTATGATACACTTAAATACATAAAGCAATATTTACATTTTGGAATCCATTCATTTCTTGGAAAATCGAATGGAAAAGTCGTTTCTCTTTGAATTCGGAAAGCCACAAATTACATTAACATCAGTTTAAAAAAGGAGAACGCACGGGAAACATGATTAACGAATGAAAATCAAACGGCAGATAAAAAAATTCCGGAATTTCTTTATATATATATATATATATATATATATATATATATATATATATATATAAAATGAACACTGAAGTCGACACATAATGGCGACAGACTGTTTCATGCTAGACTTCAATGTTCACTTTTATATTTACATACGCTCTATCTACGATATTGAGCACTTTATCCTATAAATATAGCACACCTTAAAAAGATATTTCTTCATATATATATATATATATATATATATATATATACACACATAAATATGCAATCAAATGAATAAAATATATAAATATATAATCAAAAGAATTTCTCTAATATATATATATATATATATATATAGAGAGAGAGAGAGGAGAGAGAAAGAGAGAGCCTGACGATTACGTCTAGCATGAAACATCCTGTCGCCTCTAAGTGTTGACTTCAATGTTTACTTTTATATTTACATACGTTCTATTTCTGATATTAAACACTTTATCCCATAAATATAGAGAACCATAAAATATATATATATATATATATATATATATATATATATATATATATATATATATATATATATATATATATATATAAGGTGTGTGTGAGCATGCGCGCTTTTGTATGTGCAAGGGCAAAGAAGTAGTGATATTACATATATACGCAAAATCTTTCCAAAGACCGCAGAGGACAAAGTAGATATTTAGAATGCAGCAGTGACATTTAGATACATACTTTTACATGGAGGCATATATGGCATGCACTTAATCAGGATACATACATCGTGTCGACGTGCGCATTTCTCATCTTAATCTGTTACATACGCCCAATCATTAACGTGTACGCATGCGCAGACAGCTACCAGCGGTTTCGGCTTCATCCGGCCGACAACATGGCGACGCCCAATGGAGTTTTAACTCTAATCTACTGAACTCACCTCGGCTCAAATGAAAAGCATGAATTATAAATAACATACGACTGCCTCGTTCACTTTTCTTTCTCTATTTTATAGATATTTTCTTCCTTCTTTTTATGCCTCCATTTTTTTTTTTTTTTGTTAAATGTTCGCTTACATTCATTCTGTTACATATAATACACAAAGAGCATAGTAATTCTGACTTTCACTATTTAACGATTAAAAAAGAATATCCGTTGCGGTTTTTTTTTTTATATATGGAAGGCTTACTGATAATTATTTTAATATTTAATATTTTGTCTTATTTGTGCTGCCATTTTCATTTATTTTATTTCTAATTTTACCCTGCCTTACTGTTTCTTTTATGGAAAAACAGAATATAAAAAGAAATGCACATTGGATAGACTGCGCTTGGGGTTGTTTCGTCCAACCTCATATAGAGGCTACAACAAAGTATTAAACTAAGATCTCGAGCCATATTTTTAAATCGCCTCGTCAGATCGAGACTCTCATGTGGATGTCATACATGTCATCCACATGAGAATAAGAAATATCAAAACTCTCAACTATATACAACTGCCTACTCAGATTAATAACAAAAAAATGGTTTCAAGCGAATGAACTTCTAAATCTAGAAGATAATCTTTCATCAGATATTATAAATTGGCGCTAGAAAATCATAAACAATCTATCTTACATATTTATAAGTCTACCCCAATAGTACTTTAAAAGAAAAGAAAATGTATGACCCATAACAAGTTGATATGCCGTCAAAAAAAACAAGTCATTGGACTAAACAAGTGATTTCGTTGATGAAATTATACATGTAGCTGAGAATGGAAAGATCTAGAACTTTAATGTCGATTATACCGAGAAGAAACGATGAAAACGTAAGAACGCTAGATTTAAAAATTTCTGTCGTTCGACGTGTCTGGGCGCACAGCTTAGCAGATCTTATTGCATTTAAGTTTTTTGGGTTTTTTTTTATATATCAATGTTGATTGTAAATATCGAAAATTAGGAAAACGGGACATTTGTTCAGAAACGTGAAAAGCTCTAAGAACCTCGACGTAATTCTACTGTGTAAGAGCCATTCCCACAAACGCGCGCACATACATAGACAATGGCGCAAATATGTGGTTGATGAGGACATTAATAATTCCAGTTGGAGTTGGAGACTTCGGATTGATTCGAAAATTTTCCTACAGACTCAATGAAGGAAATCGTTGTAGCCCCTGTCGTAAAAAAATAGAAAAAATGTACTCACAATTACAGCTCACACCTCAAGATGAGCTTTCTCTTTCTAACATGTGTGTGATCTTAGAATTTTTTAACTTTTTTTTTTTTACATTATAGTTTCTTTCTTTGTTTTCTTTTTGAAAAATGTCATGAAACCAATTCTGACCTTAGGTCCGTGATTGGGATACGGAAGGAAATGTGTATAAAACAGAAATCAAAGGAAATATTATTATTATTATTATTATTATTATTATTATTATTATTATTCATTTTCGATTTTTGCTATGGTCACACTACCTCAGGCAGGTAGTGGTGTTTTGTTTTCATGATTTTTTCTAACTCCCATAACATTACTAGCGTTACATGGACAAAGTTCTTCTTAGTGTGTGGACTGTAATTATCAAGACAATTTTTGTATTTCTCTTCAGCTGAGATTTCCAGGGATTCTCCCAATGTGTTGTTGTGTTCCTTTTTTATCATTCCAAGCGCACCTACTATGAATGGTACTATTCTTGTTTTGAATTCCCAGATGTTTTCGATTTAGGTTTTTATATTTCGATAGTTTTTCAAAGTCCTTGGCTGCAATGTTACAGTCCGCTCGGCAAGCTATATCAATTAGTAGGCAATTTTTTTCTTTTTGGTTTTTGACAATTATATCCGGCCTATTTGCTTCAATTTTCCTGTCTGTAAAGATGGTTTAATTCCATAGAATTGTGATGTCTTCTGTTTCTGTAACCGGTGCTGGGTGATGTTCATGCCAGTGTTTATGAACATCTTTGCACATTGTCCAGTGTAAGTATTGCCCCACTCTATCGTGACGATTTTTATATCCATTTGGCGTAAGTACAGAACATCCTGAGATTTGATGTTCAATGGTTTCCTGATATTTGTCACGGAACCTGCATTTTGAATCCACACTAGTGTGTATGATATTTGCCTAAAAGTTTCTAGTGAAAATATTCTGTTCTTCCACTGCAAGAATAAATCCTTCCATTTCAGCTTTTAATCCAAATGCTCGTAACCATCGATGAGTGTTAACTTTATCAACATCGGCTTTATTAACCTCGTTCTGGATATTGGCCATTCAGATGTTTGTCTTGTCAGGTTTGTTTCATCTGTTCAAGAACTTTATCCTTGGCTTTCTTTTTCATAATTTTAGCTGCAACTGTTGGTTCTTCGGTTCTGTTTTGGTTTTCTACAGAATCTACTAAATGTAAATCTCTTTTGTATTTACAAGCTCCTTTCCTGATTGAATAATTTTTCTTTCTGCTTTCGTATTGTTTGACTAATTGTATCATCCAGTCATTTGTTGTTTCCATTTATGTTAGCAAGCCAATAGTTGTTTTCTTGTATATATGACAATTCTAGCTGAATAAGACATCTTCCACCTTCTTTAAGGGACATGTATAGACGGTCTGCATTAGCCTTTAGATGATGCATGTTATGCTTAGAAAGAAGCTTTCTTATTTTAGAATCCATTCGTCTATCATTTAGAGTCAAGTTCAAAATGTTGAAACAATATTGATGCACTGGGATGGCAAGGCTATTAATGGTCATAATTCTGTTCTGATAATTTAATTCAGTTTTTAATATTAGTCTTCTATTATTTCCATGAGTGATGCATTGGTCTAAATATCCACCCAAAGTTTCCTTGTGCATTGTCTTTTACAGACAGGGTTTCGAATAATAATAATAATAATAATAATAATAATAATAATATTTATGTCCTTTGATTTCTGGTGTATATTCATTTCTT